GATGATCGAAGGGGGATGCCCGTTGGACGGGAGTGGTGGTGGTGGGCGAGGTAGAGGCCTCATCTTGACCGTCGTCGACTTCATCTAGATGTTGACGACTAATCTTGCTGGGTGTGTGGGCTCGAAGTTGCTCGTCAACGACGACCACGTGGTCGCTGGGCTTGGTGGTAGCATCGCCAGCTTCTTCGACGAAGTAGGGACTCGACGAAGATTCGACGAGGAAGTTGATGGAAAGGGCCGACGGTCTGCTGGCCGGCGTCGAAGGTGATGTCGGCGGCGGGGTCGATGATGATGAAGTACTGGTGTTTGTCGCTGTCGCGGGATTAACCGGCTTCTGCCTCGCCGCAGCGGCCGCCAGAGCGTCCATCTTCGCTTTCGTTCTTTGGATGGGTCTCTTTTCGCTTTCGCTCTTCCCCTCGTTCTGGAGCTCGATTGATGACGACAGAGCTGGAGCTCGCGTTGTCCGTGTGTGCGTGTGCGGTTGGTAGATGGATGGCGGTTGGGTGCGTGCCAGGGATGTGACGCTCCCGGAGCGAAGCGGATAAGCTTATTTTATGCGAGCCCGGAAGTTGACCGAAGGAAGTCGAGATGGCGGTCGCAGCGCGTTGAGCTGGTGTGTGTGTGTGTGAGCGAAAGCTTGGGGTGGCTCAAGCGCGGGGAAGAGAAAGATGTTCTCTGTTCGAGCTGTGCTGGAGCAGATGTGCTTTGGCCGGGAGAACGAAGGGTGCGGGTACTGTCTGTAAGGAGCGATGGGAGAGGTGAAAGTTGACCTGACGTCCCCGACTGGCGAGCTAGGGTAAGGGGAGAGGAAAGTGAGGGAAGTAGTTGTGCGTCTTTGGGCTCTGATTAGGCGCGAGCTGATCAGTGGCCGGCGCGTGGTTGGTGGTGATGCCTGGTCGGTGGCGTGAAGGGGAAGTCGGAAGAAAGAAGAAGAACGAAAGCGATGATGTCTTGTGGTTGCTCTTTTTCCAGCTTGCCGCTCATTCGCATGCGGTTAAATGTTATCTCGGCGCACCCAGTTGGTGCTCGGAGTGTGAGCCGCAATTGGGCCACATGCCATGCCGCAGTGTGCCCATTGGCCCCACGGACAGGCCCGTCACCAGTAACACATCAACCGCCACCTAAGATCGAGGGAACAGAACGATCTTAGCAGCGTCACGCTCGTTCATGTGTCGCCGGCGGTGTGAGCTGGCTCTGTACGGCGCCACGTGTTGCCGTGGTTGGCCACCACACTCGAACGGGCGTCGGCTTTCCGTGCGGTTTGCGCCTTTGGGTTCTAGGTCGCACGCGGCCGCAGTTCCGTAGGCAGGCGGACTTTAGGCCGTTGCGGCTCTGGCCCTCTTACAGCCGTGGGCGGGAGCCGCTTGCGAGCCGCTTCTGACCGACCAACAGCGGCCGCGGCGGCCGCTGTTGTGTTGGCGGCAGTCAACTGAGCCGAGCTCGACAACAGGCGGCCGAACAGAAGGAGGAGCGAAACACCAGGCGAAGGTCTCGTGACACAGCGCTGTCCCCCATGGACGGCACGAAGCGGCCGCAGCTGGGGAGGACCAGGCGGCGCAGCACGGCGGTGACCGGTGGAAGGCCGTAGAAGAGCTGCCCGCAGTGCACGCAACTCCGCCCACCGCGACAGAGCCGCAGCCGCAGGTCCTGTGGAAGCTGGGGCTACATGGTGGCCCGCAACAACCACATAGTACAACACCACCACGAAAGAACGTGCAACCAGTCATTACGAGAAAGTTGAGTAAAGTCAGAACTGTCACCAAGCACACGCAACGCGGTTGTTGGGCAGCGCGAGCACACCCAAGCATGGAAAGGGAAAGAGAAGAGATGGCGTTCATCATCCGGAGTGTGGATTTCGATGATGTTTGAGGGAGCTGTCGACAACGCAAAAAACAGCTGGAGAACGGGAAATACCTGGAGGTGAGAGGGTCCCTCGCCTTGGTCGCTCTTGCTGGCCCCGGCGGAGAGCAGGAGCCGCTCGTCGGTGGCCACGACGCAGCAGCACAGGTCGACCAGGGCGGGCACGGCGTACGACACGCCCTCCACAACAGACTCGTCAGAATAGCGGTCGTAGTCACCCACTACCTCCGGGTCGATCACGCCATCCTCGTCGCCTTCCGCCACCGCCTGCTCAGCGCCTTCTTCGGTATTCTCATCGTCATCGTCACTGTCGTCAGCGTAGGGCTGGCCCTGGACGATGGGGTTGTGGCGCAGCTCGAACAGCTCTAGGCCGGGAATGAACGTGAAGAGGACACCGACGGGGAGCCAGCGCAGCCGATTGCCGCTCAAGAAGAGGCTCTGGAGGCTGGGCAGCGTGCGGGTGCCGAAGCCGTCGGGGAGGGTCCGCAGTCGGTTGTAGCTGGCGTCAAGCGTGTTCAGGGACGCCCAACCGGTCAAAGCGGTGGCGCCAGCAGTCGGAGCCTCTGACGCGAGGGCAGCGGGTGGCAAACCGGGCGGAAGGGAGGTGAGACGATTGTGGTCGATGGCCAGGTCCTGGAGCGAGGTGAGGCGGTAGATGGACGAGGGCAGGGAGGTCAGGCGGTTGTTGGAGAGCAGGAGCGACTCGAGCGCGGGCAGGTCGCCAATCTCGTCGGGCAGCTCGCTGATCCTGTTCGCGTAGAGGCTGTACGCAAGTGCAAGCAAGAGGTGGGATCAGCACAACGTGGAACGCAGCGGCTTCTTCTTCTTTTTCTTCGCATGAAGGAGGAATACCTGAGCGTGCTGAGGGAGCGAAGAGAAGAGATGGCGGGCGGCAGTGAAGAGATGCAGTTGTGCTGGAGGTGCAGCACCTCCAGCTGCGTCAGCGCCATCACGGCTTCAGGCACCTGCGCTAGGCGATTGCTGCACACATTGCCCCCCCCCCTCTCCTCAAGTGAGCTCCTACTCGCACCGTCGAAGAAAGAAACCGGGGCGCACTCGTTGAGGTGAAGCCACCGCAGCTGGTGGAAGTGGCACAAGGACGTGGGCACGCGGTGCAGGAGGTTGTTGTCGAGGGAGAGGCAGACCAGCTTGCCGGCGTGCTCTTCGACCTGCGGCCACACAGCATCAAGCATCTCCGAGTCCAGCGAGCGTAGCGACAGGTCCACCTCCTCCCTGTGCATGACCACCGCTACCGGCTGATGTGGCGCTCCTACGGTGTCCTCTCCCGACATCTTAGACAAAATCAAATCTTCCGAATAAATAAAAGAAACAAATAGGCCAAGCCACTCAAAGACAAAAGCAAACAAGATGACGACGATGCGGCTGCTTGGCGTGGTTGCCGTGCTCGTGGCAGCGTTGGTTGGCTGGAACTGCAGGGACATCACGACGGCCGATCTGCCGCTGGTGGTGAAGCAGTGGAAGGCCTCGGGCCACTACTTCCTCTTCGAGGGCGCGGCAGGCCCTCCTCGCGTCATCTGGCACAAAGTAATCCACAACCACGGAGCGCCCCAGCGCACGCTCATATGCCTGCACGGCTTTCCTACCTCCTCCTTTGATTGGATCAAGATTTTGCCTGCGCTGCAGCACCAATTCGATCAGATCATCTTGTTCGATCTTCTTGGTACCTTCCCTGGCTGAGTTGTCGCCTTCTATGCTCGGGTCTGACGCACTTGTTGGGCAGGGTTTGGGCTCAGCGAGAAGCCCACAAACCACTCGTACACCATCATGGAGCAGGCCGACATCACGGAGGTGCCTCCTCTCCCAGCGCGGTGAATGGGTGGCCTTCACATCCTATATGATCGCTTGATGGTCACACACCCGCAAGCTCGCTCTGCACGGTAGCCTGGCGATCGCGTCTCTGCTTCTTGTTCGCGCTTGACCATGTCGTGGTGACCGTGTTGTGATGCAGGCACTCTTGGCGCACATGGGCGTGAGTGAGGTGCACGTACTGGCGCACGACTACGGCGATACTGTAGGACAAGAGCTGCTCGCGCGCCACAACGAACGGGCCAAGGCTGGCGACTCGACACTGTCCCTCAAGTCCATCTGCTTCCTCAATGGCGGTACGTCGCTCCAGCCCGCCGCAGTTCAGTCGCTCGCACACCGCCGCAATGATAACTACTTACGGGCCACCTCCGCAGGCCTGTTTCCTGGCTCGCACCGTCCTCGAACCATCCAGAAAGTGCTGGCGCTGCCCCACATCGGCACATTCCTCGGGTATGGTTCCTTTATCAGCAACAACACCAGGCGTGTGGGACACGTGGCTCACCTTCGCGATTGGGCGCGTGAGCAGATACTTTGCCAACTACTGGCTGTTTTGTCGCTCCTTCGTGCCCCTGTTCGGTGAGCACACGGCACCCACTGAGGCCGAGTTCCAGGAGATGTGGTACGCTGCCATCCGTTTTCCTACAGTTGTGTAGGAAAGAAGGAGAGTCTTGTGCTGTGCGAGTGACCACCGCGTCTGTGCGGCTGTGCAGGTCTCTGATCGCGTATGAAGGAGGCCACCGACTTGCAGGCGCGCTGCTTCACTACATGGCGGACAGGGTGCAGCATGAACAGCGATGGACAGACGCCCTGAAGCAGGTACCCTCAACGCAACACCTTTTCTTCCGTGACCTTGGCACACCCGCGAGCATGACTCGACATTGCAACGTATGCAGACGACGGTGCCGATCCGTCTGATCAATGGGCCTGCCGATCCTGTGAGCGGGAGACACCTTGCAGAACGGTACCTCTCCGTTCATGAGTTCTGTAAGGCGTGTTGTGTGCTGACGAGTGGTTCTCTCCCGCAGGTATCGGCAAGAGGTGCCCCAAGCTGACGTCGTGCTGCTGGCCGACGGCATTGGGCACTACCCGCAGCTCGAAGCGCCCAGTGAAACTGTGGCTGCCTACACCACCTTCATCACTGCTTGAGCGCTTCTGAGGTACTTGGCAACGAACCACCACAAACTCTCTTCACACGCCATGTCTGTGGCTACAATAGAGTACAACTTGGTGGCGGACGATTGGGAGAATCGCTGTCGTCACCTCTTGCCGCCATCTATCTATTTCTTTCATCTTAAATGGTAGGCAAATTACCTTGGGTGCCCCGACCCAGCGGTGTGCGAAGTCCCCCAAAGGGTAGACCGCCTAAATTATTCGACCATAATGCTCCCAGTTCCCAATTGGCTGTTATTATCCGATCCATTTGGTGGTGTGGCTACCTCGGAGATCTGGGTTGTGCAACGGCAGACAATTTATTTCTGCTGTATTGTGTGCGAAAGCCTTTCACCACAAACCCAACCATGCGCAACGTCCTTCGTCTGTGCCTCGCCTTCTGCTCCTCCACCTCGTCGCGGGCGATTCGTAACGACCCAGTGGAACACCGGAAGAGCCGCCGTGGTCGGGGACTACCTCCAGATCGACATGCGCATGGCCCAGACCATGGACACCGGCCTCGGCGGCGCAGTTTGTGGTGAAACGCGCTTCGCGGGCCTCTGTCAGGTACTGAACGGCCCCTACGGCTACAACCGCTCCATGGCCAACGCCGCCGCGGTGCTCGAGAGCGTCCACCCGGGCCAGAATACTCCTTCTTCCGCAGTGCGGGCGGGTCTCCGCCGTGCGCCGCGGTCGACATTGCCTACGGCGCGCTGACCGAGGAGTACCTCACGTCGGGCTTCGCTACGGTGCCCGACTACAACGGCCACGCGGTCAATCACTCGCGAGAGGTGGCGCCGACCGCGACACGGGCGCCCAGTTCATCTTCGACTCAATGCTGAGCCTCTACGACGACCTGCCCAGTTCGATGGGCCTGTCCTACGGTCCCCGGTACCACACGTCGTCGGTGCTGCGCGAGCTGGCCGGCGGGGTCGGCAGCTACTCCAGCGGCTCGTCACGGGCGGCTCGGGCGGTCGCAAGTCGGCGCCCTCTGGGTGCTCAGGGTCGCCGGTCCGGCCAACACGACTGTGACCAACCGCTACTACTGGGCGTTCAGCGGCGATCGGAGCGGCGAGTGGAGCCAGCGCCACCACGTGTTCGGCCGGTGGGCGGGCGACGTCACGGCGGGCCAGCCGGTGTCGTTCATCACGGCCATTGTGCCCTTCCGCGCTGGTGCTGTGGGCAATCAGAACCTAACGGCGGCTGATCTCAACGAGCTCAAGGTCCCGTCGATCGACATCTAAGGTTAGATACAACAACTAGTGCGCACACGAACATGGTATTCTGTTGAAACTTGACAAGGAGAGGCCTGAAAGATACAGCAAGGCGAGTGATCCCGAGTTGTTGTTGTGTAGTGTTCATGAAGTAGAAGAGGAGGAAGAAGAGGAGGAAGAAGAAGAGGGTGAAGGAGAGATGTGCGTTTTGAAGATGGAGTAGACGTCCTCGGCGCGCTCCCACAGGTGGAGGTGGGCCGAGATGGTCGGGTCGCCCTCCTTTTGACCCGCCTGCAGGCGCTTGTGCAGGCTGAAGTCCTTTCTTAGCAGCACGTGATCATCTCTGTGAATGAAACATGAGTTGTGTGCGCGTGTGCGCTTGCGCGTGCGTGCGTGTCGTGTGTGCGATTGCAGGATGGCGTGTGCGTACTTGGAGAGTAGGGCAGAAGGGCAGAAGTCGTTATCCGAGTCTCCGATGTAGAACACGCGATCGTACTGGCCCGACTGGATGTACTCGGCCAGGATCTCACCTGTCGGAGGAATTCCCAAAACAACAAACGTTTGGAAACACGTTCGAAACGTTCTGTCAAATGTCAATTCGGGGGGGGGGATAACGTGGTACCTTTGCAGAGGTCGGGCGTGCAGACCGTGCAGGAGTGCTCCTTCCAGGCCTCCTCCTCGCAGTCCTCCTCGTCCAGCTTCTCGCGGACGATTCGGCCGGCAGCGTCGCGGGTGATGGTCATCGGTGCGTGGTAGGGCCGCACGCGCAGCCTGCCCTGGTGCCACCGTGACCTGTGTGTATGTACGGCCGAGAAGATTTCCCTCATGCCGAAATGCTGTGGCCAACACACGACACACACACGCACGCACGACAACACACACACACACACGACAGGTTAACATTTTCGCACAGCAACGTTGGCTTGAGGGGACGTGGTACTACCCCCAGGATGACCTCGATGAAGAACTCGTTGGCACCCGAGATGATGATGAGGTCGGAGTTGTTCTCCTTGCAGTAGCGCACCGCTTCCACCATCGCCTCTCGCTGTGTACACAGCAACAGAGCAGCAGTCACCACCAAACCAAGAACGTCGTGAGAGAGACTGCAGCGCCAGCCACACACCGGTACACCACACGGTACCATGGGCACGGTGCGGAAGGACTCTTCGATGTGCTCCTTTGTGACGTTACGCTCGTGTAGCATGCCCATCATTTTATCCTACAATAAATGCGGACAAATGTAAATATAAATAGATAAATAAATAGATAAAGAGATGAATAAATGAACAAAAAAAAAAATACCATGAACTCGGCCCAGGTTTCGGTGTCGCGTTGGTAGAGCGTACGCCACTGGCCGTAGATCTCTGGTGCGAGTTGCTTCACCACCCACGCATCACTGTTCTCGTCCAGGAGGGACCTGCAAACGTTGTGATGAATTCGCGAAGAAGCAGTTGTTGGCAGCCAAGCTTGCAAGCTTGCAGGTGAGGTTACCAATCAAAGTCGAAAACGATGAGGTTCTTCATCTCGTGCAGCACACTGCAAACAGAGGAAATAGAAATAGAAATAAAATAAAATAAATAGAAGGAAGAAAATAAATAATAGGAAAATGCTACACACGGCCTTCTTTCACTCATCTTTGGAAGCGAGCAGACACAACAACAATATGTGTACAATCTCTTTTCTTCGTCATCGACCAACTGGCGCTCTTACGCGCCGACGCTGCCGTTTTCACAGGATCCGTGCGCGCCAAAGCCCAGCCCGGAGCCCAGGCATCGGTCGGCGTCGCTTCCCGTCGTCGGTGCTGGTCGTGCCTGGTCGCCTTCGCCGCTGACCGCCGGTGGAGACGAAGATGAAGAAGAAGATGAAGACGACGCTGATGTCGACTCTGCGGATCCACCCGGCTGCGACCGTTCCATGGTTGCCCGGTCGTAGGTGGACGACAATGACGCTGAGGTTGGAGAAGAATATGTAGAAGAGGAAGAGGAAGGGAGGAGAATGGCGGATGAGCGCGGCAGGTGCGGGAGGGTGGTGCAGGGGACGGAGGCGATGACGAGCGCCTCGACCTCGCGCTCGTTGGGTTCTTCCTCGTCGTCGTCATCTTCGATGGTGAGACCACCCGCGTCTTCGCGTTCGTCGTCGTCGTGGGCCTCCCGGCCGGCGGCGTGGAAGACCGGATCGCTCCTCGTTGGGTGGCCGAGAGACGAGGAGGCGAGGAAGGTGGGCAGGTTGGGCGACGAGATGGCGAACGACAGCGTGGGCGACGATGAGGCCAGCACGGGGCTCGGGCGCGACGACGACAACAGAGCGTTGGCGACGGCAGCCGGCGAAGATGAAGATGAGGAGGACGACGACGACGAGGAGGAGAGTTGTGGAGACGCGCCGGCAGAGCCCGAAGAAGAGCGACTGCGCGACGACGCCGATACCGAGGAGAGCGACGGGAAGGACGAGGTGAAGTCGAGTGCGGTGCTCGCGCGGAACGCGCCGCGGAATCCCGCGGTCGACCAGATCTGCTCGAGAATGGCCATCTGCTGGGGCGAGGCCTTCTTCCGTCGGCCGGCAAAGACGTCGTCCGCCGACATGACGCCCTGGAAGCCGGACGACGGGTCGTCGAGGCCGCCCTCGCCTTCGACGAGGATGCTGATGCCGCCGCTGCCGCCGCTGTTGTTGTCGTCGGCCGGCTGGTGGCTCTCGATGCTGCCCGTGCGTCCCTCCTGCGGGCCGCACTCGAGGACTTCGACCGGTGGCGGCCGCTGCTCGCCCTCGAAGTCGTCCGTCTGCATCTCGTTCGTCGAACTCTCGGCTCCGATCGCGCTTTCCTGGCTGTTGCTGGCGCTGCTGATGGTGGTGTCCTGATTATCGTAGTTGTTTCCACTCTCGCTCTCGCTCTCGAGGGCCGTCTCGACCTGAACCGCGACGTCCATCGGCTCGCTCTCGACCTCGACCTCGACCTCGACTGCCACCTCGTCGCCATCGGTTTCGGCGTGCATCTGTTCGGCCTCGGGCGGCTGCTCGTTCATCGGTTGCAGCGGCGCATCCTCCTCGCTCCTGACCACTTCAGTGTGCGGCACATCGATCGTTTCCGCGACGGTGACGTCCGCTTCGGCCGGCAGCGGCAGCGCGCCGCCGAGCGAGGGCAGTATTGTGTGCGGCGGTCGCTGGTAGAAGCGAAAGAGCGGCGTCGATGCGGGTCCCACGTCGGCGGCCACGGACGAGTCCGCGCTCGGAGCGGCGACGAAAGCCTCGCGCGGCGACGCGTCCGGGAGGGTGGGCGTCCCGACGGTTTGCTTCTTGTGGATTTGCTGCAGCAGCTGCTGGAGGAACTCCTGCTGGTGCTGCGGCAGAGGCGCCGATGGCGGAGCGGCGCGAAGAGTCCAATTGGACGGTCTGGTGGTGTTGCTGCTGATGCTGGTGGTGGTCGCCGTTGCGTGTCGGGTAGGTGAAGGAGAACGAGTCGCGCCGCTCCCGCTTCTTGTCCCCGAAGCGGCTCGTGTGGTGCGAGTTGATGTTGAGGTTGAGGTTGAGGTAATTGGCCATCGATTGCACGTTCGCTCCGGGACTCGACACGCCGCTACCGCCGCCGTCGGGCGTGGTGTTGGTGCTGCTCCCCGTCGGCGAGGAGGGAGCCTGCTGCGGCATCAGCTGCGACTTGAGCTGCATGACGCGCTGCTGGTCGATGCCCGCCGGGAGCGGCGACGGCAGGAGCTGCTGCAGCTGGGCTAGGGACGACGGGAGCGGGAGCGGCGACCCGGCGCCCGTGGGCAGCGGGCTGGACATGGCCGAGAGGTAGGAGGCCAGCGGGGCCGGAGGCAACATGCTGCCGCCAGCTCTTGGCACGGTGACGTCGTCGCCGTTGACCACCTCCACCGATGGTGGGTGGTGTGGCTGCTCTTCGTCTTCGGCGGCCGTCGGCGCGGTGGTGCGCTCACGCGTCCGGGCGGCGAGCATGGACGGTAGGAAGGACGACGAGAAGGCGAGTAGCGGCGACGAGGCCAGCGTCGCGGCGATGTCCTCGGCGCCGAGGCTGTCGCTCAGCACGACGCTCCGGCCGCTGTTGACGGACTGGAGCAGCTCGAGCTGCCGCTGCTTCTTGGTTCTTCGGTCGTTCTTGGCGGTCGAGGGCGCCGTCGACGTGGTGCCCGCAGCCGCAGCCGCGGTGGCGCTCTTGTTTGTGGCCTTGCGCTTCCTGCCGCCTGCGGGCTTCTGGGCCACGGAGGGCGACGACGAGCTGAGCAGCTTGCGCCCGCCTGCGGACTTGGATCGACTCCTGCCGCTCGAGCGCACCTCGACGTCGGACGACGTGCGCGGCATCGGCGGCGATCTGGCCGCACGCCCCGCCGAGACCAGCGACTCGGGCGGCGGCAGCGACGACAAGACGGGCGAAGTGGGCGTCGAGCGCGACGAAGACGAGGCCGGTGTCGACGCGAAGAGGAATCTGGTGTCGTTACCGCCACGAGCCGCGGGCCGCACCTCGTCGTCATCGTCATCGTTGAGGAGGCTGTAGATGGATACCCTTGTCCGTGGGGCTTGGTGCTCGGTGAGCGATGCTGCCGTCGGTTGAGGCGGGGATGAAAATGTGGATGTGGAATGCGCATCAGCCGTACGGTACCCGCCTCGCACTTCCTCTTCGAGAGATGGAGCCGATGTCGATGTCACATTCGGTTCTCCGCCGCTCGCCGATCTCTCGCCGTAGTGATTAATTCGATGCATCCCATTTTCCACGGGCCGCGATGCATCGTCGGACCGAGAAAGCAGCATCAGTAGGGCAGACTCTGCTTCGAGCTCCTTTTCGCTCAGTTCTCGCTTCGTCGGCGACGCTAGCATCCCGAATCCCTCCATTTCTGCGATGGTATTCAGTTCCGTTTCGAGAATGGAACGCGTGTGCTATCGATGGCCGACCTCCTGCCTTTATCGTTCCTCCACCACGCTCTTTATCCTTCGCGCTACTACCGTCTGAGCCCCTTCTTCTCGTCGCGTTGAGACTCGCGTTGCTCGAGCTAGAAGTGAAGTACGGTCGCTAACCGACGACTCAATCTCTATCAGCTGGTGTACTCTAACCCTCTCTTCGACCTTATCTTATCCTCCTCCTTGTCTACGACGTCGTGTGGGGGCAGAGAGTGCCTTCGCTGTGCAGCACAAACTCCCCACCACTTCACCTTCGCCTTGACGAGCGGAGAGGAACGCGAGCAAAAGCGGGCGAACAGTGGTCTGTTTCACCCAAAATCCACCCATTTTCCGCTCTGCCGGGTTTTTGCCTGGCACGGCTCCTGTCACGTGCGCCGTTGCCTGCTTCCGGCAACCAATTCCAGCGTATCCTTTCCCGCCACCAAAGCAGCTGAAGAATGTGCCATGGCGCCTTCACCCTAATGGGCAGCGAAATTTGTGCCAAATGCTGGGCCAACACAGGACCAGAAAAACTCCCAGTGCCATGCCCAAGTGGCAAGAGCTAATGAGCTGGAAGGATACAATGTGAGGCAGACACTTTCTGCTTCCCACTCATTTTCAGCATCCACCAAATCATCTCATTTTTTTCAGCAACATTCAACACCTGTGGATGGCAGAACAGTTTGTGTTAAAACTGTGAGCCACTCCTGTAGTTGTTGGGTTTGAGCTGTCAGTATGATCTACTTCCACACAGTATCTTGACAATATCCAAGAAAAGAGCAGTGGCCAACACGGAGGAAAGAAGGAAAAAACTGCAATTTTTTTCTCTGCACCTAAATCACAGGCAGATTTCTGCGCTCCATTTCGGGGGAACACCCACACAAGAAGGCCTGCGCCAACCTGATCCACACGCAAAGCATCTTGGGCTTCATAGAATTGAACAACAATCGCACACAGTAGACGAGTGCCTCAATCGAGTATCACCATCGGTTTGAAACAGGTAGGTGCCCAATAAATGTGGTGATGTGATGCAGCTATTCTGCATGGGTCATTAATGATGAATCGAATGATGTAGGGCAAACAAGAAGAGATGGTGGTGATAAAGTTCCAATACGGGAACGACGTGCGACGGATTACCCTTCCTGCCGAGGGAATCACCTACGAACAACTGCTTTCGCTCATCGAAAGTCTGTACAGCCAAGCCGGTCCTGGCGATCATCCTGCGTTGCCCCAAGAGTTCAAACTCAAATACGCGGACGAAGAGAACGATTTCATCGGGTTCGGCACCTTGAAGTACTCAAATGTCTAATTAGATTAATGATGCTAATTCAAATTCCTTTAGATTGACCTGTGACAACGAGCTGAGGGATGCCCTCTCGCTGCTGCCCGAAGGAAAGGTCCTGCGCATCATGATCGTTGACGTAGCGCCAGCCCCAAACCCTGGGCCACCCGCAACCGGCACAACTATGGATGACGTCGTACACAACGTCCTCTGCCACCACTGCGGTACGAACTCGGCTCTTCGCGGTCGTAAGGCTCCTTTCCTTGCTCACCTTTATACTTTCCCCAACTACAGGGCATCAGGTGCAGGGCGTGCTGTTTCTGTGCGTGAACTGTGCTACGGACTACAGCCTCTGTTCGGAGTGCGAGCGTCAGCGACCGCACGACTCGCAGCACCTCTTTCTCAAGATCTACGCCCCGCTGCCGCCCGACGCCTTGGCGCAGGGCGTCCTGCCGCTGCTGCCCAATCTCTACGCGCCCTCTGCCAGCACGTCGTCGGCCGCGACCGCCGGAACGCAGCAGGCCTGCCCCAACTGGATCCGCCAGCGAAAGGCGAGCGACGGCGCGCCCCGCGGCAGAGCCGCCTGCTACAACAAGAGAACGGGACCCAGGCGAGAGGACCAGAAGCTGGCATGTCGCTTCGTGGAGGACATAACCGTGGACGATGGCCACGCGATGACTCCCGGTTCCCCGTTCGTCAAGATATGGCGCCTGCGTAACAGCGGCAACGTCGCGTGGCCCGAGGGCGTCGCGCTGTCCTTCGTGAGCGGCGACAGCCTCTCCCTCTTCGAATCCATCCCCGTCATGTCCGTAGCGCCCGGCGCCGAAGTCGACGTATCTGTCGACATGACCGCTCCCAAGGTGCGTTCTCCTTAGCTTCTTGCCACCAGCGTGGTGTTCATGTCGGCACACGACGATCGTGGTCGTTAGGGCTCACACCTTCGACCGCTGCAGGAGGTGGGCCGCTACGTGTCGAACTGGCGGTTGCAAAGCCCGTCGGGCGTCTTCTTCGGGCATCAGGTGTGGGCAGACATCATGGTGGTGAAGGACGCTGGCAAGTGTGCCGACTCCGAGAACGACAAGCCTGCTGTACAGTTCCGCGAAAGCGATGACTCGGAGGAGGACAGCGACAACAACGAGAGCGAGTGGGAGCTGGGGAGGAGCAAGGTGCGGAGGATCGCCAAGGTCATCCGAGGGCGAAGCCACTCGGACATCGACTCCGATGACGAGACACTCAACGAAGCCGAAGCCGAAGCCGAAGCCGAAGAGCGCGGCGAGCAAGAGGAAACTACCGACCAGACGCGCGCCGAAGGCGACAACGTTGCGCCCGCGGCCCAGGAGGCGCAGGAACTGGTCGAAGAGCACCAGCCTCCGCAGCAGAGTCCGGCCAGCAGCGAGGACGACGAGTGGGAGGTGGTGGCGGCCAAGGAGGAGTGGGCCGACGAGCTTGCCGCGCTGCGGGAGATGGGCCTCGGTGACCTGGACACCATCCGCAGGGCGCTCAAGGAGGCCAAAGGCAACGTCGACCTCGCCGCGCAGAGTCTCCTTGGCGACTGAACCATCAGCACAACAACAACAACAACCAACAACGCCTTGCACAGCTAAGTAAATAAAACAACACGCCATCACTGGCATCATCATCGTCATCATGGGTTACATGGTCCAGCTGATCGACTGTTACGCATCGACAAGGAGGCCGTGGGTGGCATCATCGTCGCCATCGTCGCTGGTGGCTACAATAATGGCGGAGAGCAGGCTCTCTCGCGTGTAGTGTTGTCGGACGCCATCAAGCCGAAGCAGGTACTCGGCCGCTCCCTCCATGCTCAGCTCGTGTGCTTCACACAGTCCTGCACAGCACGCGTTGCCACAACACACGAACTGCATCAATCCGTGTGCGGTGGTGCGTGTGTGCGTGCAGATGATGCAAAGGTGCAAGGGAGCTGCACGCACCGAGGGCCAGCTTCTCCAAATACGGCGGGCTGGCCTTGTAGGTGTCGGTGATGGCTTCGGGGTGGAGTGTGAAGGTGAATATGGGGTGGCCCTCCTCGCACTCGCCCAGCCATACCAGCGTGCCGTAGGCGTGGTTCTCGAGCAGCCGCACCGCCTTCTCCCTCTTGACCCTGCCGAGTTGTCGCCAGTCCAACGAGAGCCGAGGAAAACTTAGCCGATCGGATGGACACACGAGAAGAGAGAGGAGAGGACTCCCGCACCGATCCAGGTCGAGCCGCTCCTCCACGTAGGCCGTAGTGATGCCTACGGCAACACGCGCCCCCAGTACATTGTGTCATAATCATCATCATTCACGCAGGCGCAGAGGAGTGGAAAATGGTACCATTTTCTTGTGCTACGATATCGATGAACTGCTGCCGTCGGATCAGATACCTGCGACACATTACGACACAAAACAACACGACACACACGACACACGACACACACACGATGAACTGCATGGCCTGCTGCCACAAGACGTAGCACAAACGTGCGTGATGTGCAGTGAGCAAGAAGTAGAAGAAGGAGCGTACTTCCGACCTCGCGCGGGTTCGTGTGCGATGACTGATTCGGTGGGCGATGAGCCGCACCCGACCGTCGGACGGGACACATCGATAGCCGCCGCTCCTCCTGTTATTATCAATAAATAACAACATTATCCGTCACAATGATTAAGAATATAATGTAAAGAATAAACAAATAAACAAATAAATAAAAAGATGGTTCGTGTGTACCTCCCCACCAGTTGGACCAGAGCGGGAACGAGAGCGCGTAGGGCAGGAGGAACGGGCGGTCGTCCAGTGGTGGCGTTATGTCGCGGCATCCCTCGTGGACCACCTTCGACCCCGCCGCTCGCCCTGCACGCGCGCCAGGGCATTAGCAAAGCTGGGCGTGTGCAGACAGAAGTAGAGCTGAGAGAATATATGGTGGGGGGGGGGTACCGCCGGAGATGTAGGTCATGAAGCGCGAGCGGGACAGGTTGCTGCCGTACGAGCAGTACCACAGCAGCTCATCATCGATGGTACGCGAGGTCGTAGCCGTCTCCCCCATCATCTTTGTCCCCGCCCCCTGCTTGTGGCCGTGGTCGCTATGCGACACGGTTTTTCTTTTCTTCGTTTTAATTTTTTTCATTTTTACATCAAACCCAAATTATTTCGGAAATGTGTTTCGTTACTGACCTTCCCTCTTCCCCTGCAGGCAAGCACCCACCGCCCCAATGCTCACTCGTTGTGTGGCCACTCAGGGCGGAGACGCTGCACATGATGTGGCGAAACAACGGCGTGAAAGTACGAAAGGAGGGGTTCTACCAGAGCATGGTCACCCGGATGTACGATGACCCGCCTTTTTCCTTCACTTCGCGATGAAGACCTTGAGGCCGAAAGCGAGCGCCACCACAGCAGGCACGCCCAGGCTCATCCAGCCGAAGAAGAACGCCGAAGCCGCGGCGCCGAGGAGGAAGCCCAGCGGCACGCTCACGCGGATGGTCTGGATAGTGTCCGTGCTGGGCGTGCCGAACCTGCTACTCGAGGCGGGGCTCAGCAAGAGGGTCACCACGAGTCCGGCCACCGCGCCACCGATAGGGAGAAGCAGCGGGCCGAAGAAGTTCTTGAGCAGGCCCGCCACCGATAGCGCTCCCATGAAGCTCATCCCTCTTGTGTTGTGTGTTGTAATTTGTTCGTCCCCGTTGCCACGCGAACACAAAAGCAACTTGCTGACGTGGCATGTAAAACTATTAAGTGAAGGACTTTGTTCGTTGCGTGACGCGTCACAAGGACATTGGGTTGGGGATTGGGTGGGAGGGGGGGGGCTGAGCACTTCAGCGCCTTGCAAGTAGAAGGTGGTGGTGTCAGGTCATTGGCGGATCTCCTAAGTCATCAGAGGAGGACCCAGCCGTTGAAGAGGTCGACGTGGGAGTTGAGGATTGACGCAGGGCTGCCCTTCAGGTTGATGTGCGCCGTGGTGCCCCAGCTGCGTTGTCGACCACCCAGCCCTGGGCGTTGAAATGGGCCACCATCGCCGCCTTGGCCCGAGCTGCACAACACTCATCACCTTCTCAGCACCAACGATCACAACAAGAAAGGCGAGACTGCAAGTAGCGCATTGTCGTGGGGTACCGAGGGCTCCAGTGACGTGGATGCTGCTGGCGCCCCACATGGGTCCCCACCTCCAGGCGCACCAGGCCCGGCGTGGTGGTGCTGACGCCGCCTTCTTCATCGTCGTCCTGCTCGGCGACGGTGGTGGTCCAGTAGTCCTGCGCCCAGCGCTGGGCCTCGGCGGTGGCCGCCTCCTTCACCAGCCGCCGCGCGTCCCTGGAGTCAGACCCGGGCGACGCGAGCGACGCCGCCTTGGTCTCGAGCGACTGGAGGTACACCATAGTCACGTGGGTCCCGTTGCCCGTGTGTAGCGCCACCGCCATGCCGCCGCCGCCACGGCCCCTGCCCCGTCCGCCGCCGTTGGTGGCATTGAAGCCCAGGCCCTCGGGCCTCGGCGTGGCGCACTTGCGGCAGGCCGTACGCGACCCGAAGTTGACCTCGGCGCAGGCTGCGTTGGGGCAGTCCCAGTCGCCCGGCTTGCGCGGTACCGACATGGCGTTGGTCGTGGCGTTGGTTGCGGCAGCCTGAGGCCTGGGGACGGCGCACTTGCGGCACGCCACGCGCGACCCGAAGTTGATTTCGGCGCAGGCTGCGTTGGGGCAGTCCCAGTCGCCCGGCTTCCGCGGCACTGACGTCGTCTTGTTCATTCTTGTGGGTTCTTGCTTGTGGTCTTGGGTCGTTGGGTTGATGCTTTGGTGGTTCGGACCGAGGTTCAGGTTTTGGTGGGCTGGAGGTGGAATAGACCCAGAAAGCTGAGAACAAACGGGGAAAACATGACTTCACCGAACATATCCGAAGTCGACACATATCGACACTAAACTGTGGCGGACAATTACCCAGAATGTGACCTTCCCTATGACCGCTTGGCCCGTTGGGTTGTGTTATTATATTGATTGGTTGTTCCCGTGCATGTACATCGTGGGTGGGAAACTGTTCTATGTACACTCTCTCTTAATCTCGCGCTCAACTCATCACGGTCGCCCTTCCCTACTGTATACTGCGCACTGAGATCTTCTATCCCGGCCTTCGGCGCGCGAGTGAGTTTGCTCTGGTCTTCCTTTCCTCCTCGATCTCCTCCTTGACTCGTTGCGGTTGATGTCGAGCCGTGGTTGTCCCTTAGGCGGTGGCGCTCTTGGTGGAGATGTCGCTCTCTCTCGCCTCGCTGGGGCGGCGAGTCCTCAGCTTGACCTGCGTGAGCTGCCACGCGAGGCTGCCCACCTTATCGCTGGTCGAAGTCGACGTGGTCGCGGCGGCGGTGGCCGGTGTGGTGGGCTCGCTCGGGACGACGGCATCCCTGGTCTCGACGTCGCTCTTGGTCGAGTCGTCCGACGATGCCGTCGACTCCTTCTTGTCCTCCTGCTTCATCGCCTTGGTCTCGGCCTCGATCTTCTTCTTGTCTTCGCCGCCGGCCTTGTCCTTCTCCTCCTTGGTCGAAGACTTGTCATTGCGGAGGAAGACGCCGGTGCTCTTCTTGCTGTCGGCGCTCGGCGCCTTCTTGACCCACGCGCTCTCGTTCTTCTTGGCCGCGGCAATGTCGGCCGCGGTGGGCTTGACGATGGGGATCGCCGCGCTGTGGGGCGCGAGCGGCCTGTTGAGCGCCTCGGCGTCCATCTTGTCCCACTCGCTGTCGGCCGCGCCCTCCTTCCCAGTGAACGGCATTGCCTGCTTCGGCTGAAGGGGCTTCTGCTGCGCAGCCATGGGCGGTCTGAAGAGGGCAAAGTGCGAAGGCGGCGTGAAGAGCTCGAAGCCGGGCGGCGGCAGGGAGTAGCGGCGTCGCTGCGGAGCGTTGGGCTGCCAGTCGGGGTGACGCGTAGACGCAGCGCCAGGGGCAGATGGCGGGCCGGCCACCCAGGCGGCGCCCGGGAGGCCGCCGGGCCTGGCGCTGAGCGAGGTGGGCGGCATGGCGGTGATGCCGGCGTTGGGCGCCAGGAAGGGCGTGGACCACTGACGCTGGGCGGCGGCGACCAGCGGCGAGACCGAGGGCGGGCCGTGGAGCTCGGTGCGGCTGCCGCGGCGGTTCCACGACTTGCTGCGCCCGCCGCCCGTGTTGTGGGTGACGTGGCCCTCGGCCTCGAGCACGGCGTGGCCCTTGGCCAGCGCTTCCTGCAGGTCAGCCGGCCGGGTGAGCCCGCGCGACGTCCAGAAGACGCTGTTGTTGGGGTTCATCAGGTTGGCCCGCAGGTCCACCTCGTCTTTCGTCACCGAGCCGTCCAGCGCCGGCGGCCGGTTCATGATCGAGCCCGTCGTCGACGCACGCCTGCGCATCGCCATCGGCTGCTCGTCGCCCGCGCGGCTTCCACTGATCCGCCCGGCGCCGCTGCCGATGCCGCCGCTGCCGGGCAGGCCCTGGCCGGAGATGGAGCGGCGGGTGTCGGCGGGCCGGCCGCCGAGGTCGCTGTTGGAATAGAGCGAGGGCTGGGAGTTGAGCCGGCCGCGAGTCTTGTGGGTCTGGGTCTGGGTCAGGTGCCCCTCGTGCTGCAGGATGGCGTGGCCCTGGGCCAGCGCGTCGGCCAGAACCGCCGGGCGAAGCAGACCGCGGGACGACCAGAACACGTCCTGCAGATCGAGATTGCAGGTGGAGATGAGCTGACATTCCAAAGAACTGAAACCGCAGCTTTGGCTTCACCATCGCCACACCGCACGACACACTGACACCGCGCACGACACGACACGATATGATGAAATGACGCAACAAACGTACGTTGTTGGGGTTGAGCTGGTTGGCGCGGATGTCCATGTCCTCCTTGGTCACGAAGCCCGGGTTGGTCGGCAGCAGGGGCGCCGGCGAGCGCCAGCTGCCCTGCACCGCGGCAGCCACGCTGGTCGGGGTGACCACCGCCGCGCCGAAGCTCAGCGGCATCCCCGCAGCAGCGGCCGACGTCGCACCGCTCCGGCCGTACTGGGCGCTGAGCCGGCGGCCGCCCTGCTTCTGGGTGAGGTGGCCCTCGTACTTGAGAATGGCGTGGCCCTGGGCCAGCGCGTCGGCCAGCACCGGCGGGCGAATGAGGCCGCGCGCGGTCCAGAAGAGGTCGTTGTTGGGGTTGAGCAGATTGGCGCGGAAGTCCATCTCCTGCTTGGTCAGGACGGCGGTAGGCGGCAGTCCGAGGATGGCCGGCTTGGTATAGACTGGCACGAGCGGCGGCAGCTGCGGGTTGGCCGCCGCTGGCGTGGCCGCGGCCTTGGTGGGCACGGCGCCGCTGCTGGTCGAGGGGCTCACCGAGGGCGATGTGGATGACGACGACGAAGGCGACGATGACGACGAGGCCGGCGGCGATGCCTTCTTCTTGGTGGTGCTGGTCGGCGGCAGGGGCGGGGGCGGAGGCGGGGCCATGACCGGGTTGGCCTGGGGCATCGTGGCTACCTTCTCGGACGACATGACGGCTGTTGTTGGTCCTCTCGCGCTGTCTCTCTGTTCAGTTCAAGTTCTCACTCGCTCCTCGTATGTGCGTGAATGGGTTGCGCTTGGGTGTTGTTGTGAGGGCGCGAGATGGGAGAATGTGGAAAGACCTCGAGCTGTTCTTCTTCTTTCTTTCTTTCTTTCTTTTGGTTGTTCTGCGTTGCGTGTTCTGGAGAAGCGAAGAAGAAGATGTGTGTGTGGTGTCGAGTCGGACTTGAAGAGATGAAAAAAGAGGGGAGATCACTCGAGCGTGGTGTAGAGGAAGGACAGGCGGGAAGAAGAAGAAGAAGAAGGCCCTTGAAGGTGGATGGTTGGTGTAAAAGGTGTGTGTCTATCCGGGCCTTGGCGCTGGTGAGCAATGAGAGGAACTGCAATTCGAATGGTGTGGTTGGTTTTGTTGCTGCCAATTGCGTGGCCACCTGACAGACGGGCCAAGACCGCAGACCCCGGATTCTCCAGCCATCCACAGAGCGCGCAGGACAACACATTCAAATTCGGGAGAGGATGCGTTACGCTTTCCACAGAGAACCCGGCGGTCAAGTCGGAGCACACTCCGATTCCTTTCACCGCCCACTCCGACACTCACACAGAGCTGCCGCTGCCTCCCGAACAGGTGAGATTCTGTCGTATGACCATGTGACACATGGTACACGCGATGGCGGCTGATCCAGGTGGATATTCCAATCATCAACACGGCCACAGTTGGGCAGTCTGTGGAACGCGCGACCAGAGAATGGCCGAGATGGGCAATTATAGACGACTTTCAGCCCGTTTTTCTTCCGTTTCGCAAACTTCTAAAACGCTCTCCCGGAGCGTTTACGAAACTAGCTCTAATTTTGTCTAATTATTTTTCGCATTTGGGAAACACAATATGAAATTTTTTCAATTCTGTAAATATTATCCAATTAATAATAATATAATTGTCCTTTGTATTGCTCACACCACGATGGACTGGGGGGTGGCGAGTGCAGCGGTGGTGGTGCTGTTGCTGCTGGGTGCCGTTCGATTTGTGCGCCGATCAAGCAGCGGCAAGGCAAAATCGCTACAAATCCAGAAAGAAAATGCGGTCTACTTGCAGGAATGGAAGGACGAGGTGCCACAACGAGCACAAAAGCAGATGCAGGAGAAGGAAGGGAAGTCAGAAGTCGTACCCTATCACTGGGGGCGCTACAAGCAGGCCCTGCCTCTGCCCGACGTCGCGGCACCGTCATGGCGCCTCAAGCAGTGGCACTACCACTCCATCAACAACGGTACGCCAAAATACACAAACAAACAAATATAACAAGAAATAACAAGAAACAAGAGCCTTGTGTCTGATGGTCAGATCTGTGTTTGCAGGGAGGTGGTTCGTGGGGATGGCCATCGTCAACCTGGGCTACCTGGCGAACGCGTGGGTGTACCTGATGGACAAGTAAGCGTATTTTACACTTATTTTTTACTGCCTTGTTGTCTGAGTGGTACGCAATCCTCACGACTACACACCAGGCAAAGCCGCTCCACGTCCTGCGAGTACAGAGCGCTCGTTCCGCTTAGCTTTGGTATGGCCTTTCGCCTGGGCGCGTTGATGTGGCTTTGATGTAACTGAGGCCCATGTGTGGACCCCTTTTGTTGTGGCAGGGCTCTCGTTTGCGGACAGTTCGGTCGAGGGCACGACCAGCTGGAAGAGCCGCGGAAACCGAATGGTGATCCAGGCCGATCAGGGCCAGAACGAGGGCGGCTACGCCGTCGAGCTGCACGTCACCATTAACGGCACCGTCTTCGACGGGCGCTGCACCATCGCCAAGCCCGAAGTACGCCAACACTTCTTTCGTCTTCATCCATCATCATCATCATCATCATCATCATCTTCTTCTTCTTCTTCTTCTTCTTGGGTACATTCATTAACCAGCCACGACTTCATCGCCCACCACCAACACAAAGGAATCTCTGGCGTTGCTGTACCCGCTCGAGGGTCCGACCAGGCAGCGCGCTGCCTACACCCACAAGGTTTGAATTTCCATTGGCCCTGGATCCATCACCATCTGTGGCGACATGGTGGCTTACAAATGGCCATCGCGCTCGTCGTGGAATCCGCGACAGGCGGCGGGAATGCCGGTGGAGGGCAGCTTCAGGTGGGGCGACGAGGAGCTGCGCTTCACCAAGGCCGACTCGTTCGCCACCATGGACTGGACCCGTTCCCACGCCACGCGCGAGACCACTTGGAAGTGGGCTTCGTTCGCCGGTCTTGCATCGACTCGCGCAGGTGACGTGGCGGTGGGGCTCAACCTATCCGCGGAGGTGTACGAGGATAAGGAAAACGCCTTCTGGCTCAACGGCAAGGTAAGCGTCAGCTCAGGGATTGAGAGTGTGACAACGACTGCTTACGTGCTGACCGTCTCTTTCTTTCTTTCTTTCTTTCTTTCTTTCTTTCTTTTTTTTTTTGTTGTACAGGTGCACCTGGTGGGTCCTGTGCAGTTCACGCTCCCCGCGCGCCAGCGGGTGACGCAGGACAAGTGGACCCTCCGCAGCCACAACGGCGCTTTGCAGCTCCAGTTCACCCCACACGCCGCGCGAGAGGAGCACCTTCATGTGGGCGTCATCGCTTCAGGTAACTACCCCCTTGAGTGCGTGTGCGTGTGCGTGTGCGTGTGCGTGTGCGTGTGCGTGTGCTGGCGGGATGGGTGCTTACCACGCTCGTGCCACAGAATTCTCACAAGTGGGCGGCACCTTCTCCGGTATGATCGACGTCGCGGCCCTCGAGGGTGGTCCCTCCCCAAGCAACGTCGTCACCGTCGAGGACGTTCTGGGCGTCGTTGAAACCCACTACGCCCTCTGGTGATACACTTACCCCCATTATATTATTATTAATTAATTAATTTATTAAATAACACTCACAACTCGGAGGAGTCGAGGTAGTGGAAGTTGACCGAGTCGCCTCTGGCGACACTCTTGGTCGTCTCCCGCTTCCTCAGCCACCAGCCGATTGCCACGCCCGCGCTGATCGCCAGCACCACCAACACAGCCGCGATGGGCAGCGCCACAGCGACCCCGATCACCAGCGCCATATCGCTGCCTCCGCTGCTGCCACCGTCGCCGCCATCACCATCGTCGGAGCCGAGCAGCACGTCGATGCCCAGGCTAGGGTCGTAGGCCAGCGAGCCGTTGAAGGGCGGGAATCGGAGCTCCAGCACGAACTCGGCCACGTCGACTCCGTCGGGTCCCGACGCCGAGCGATAGCTGAGCGAGTGCTCGATCGGCGCCAGGCTCAGGCTATAGTCGGCGTCGGCCAGGAGCACGACGTCGAACACCTCCACCTTGGCCACTGCGCGCGACGAGGCTCGCGACGACGACGACAAGGAGCGAATGCGCAGCGGGATGTAGTAGGTGGTCATGTTGGCCTCGGGCACGCCGCGCTGGTGGGTGATGCTGGCGTTGGGGTCGAGCGGCGCCGCCAGGGAAGAAGCAGAGGCCAAGACGCGCGTGATACGATATCGAACCGTCGTGTGCTCGACGGCCGACGACGATGAGGAATGCGAGGAATTGATGGAGGAAAGGCGGAGCGACCACTTGAAGCTGTGGGGCGCGATGCCGAACGAGCGACCGAAGAAGTTGCCTCGCTCCGGCCTCCGGTGGAACGAGAACTCCTGTTCGATCGCCGTCGCGTCGGCGTTGGCCACGTAGGCAAAGGTAGTCCGAGCGTCGGCGTCTCCGCTGGACTCGTTCAGCTGCGTTCGCTGGAAGCCGGTCAACGACGAGGCCGGAACCGTGATATCGCCCACTTGGATGCCTTCCAGCTCGGCGCGCAGAGTCAGAACCGCCTCCTCTTCGCTGCCTGACGTCGTGTCATTCCCTACAACACACACACACAACAAGATCAGTGTGAGCTCACCACAGATCAGCTCGCCACTGATCTGTTGTGTTACCGCGAATGGTGGCGGTGAGGTTGAAGCTGGCGGCGTCGGCCTCGAAGCTCGACGTCACGTTGACCACCTGCAGCCCCGGCGGCTTAATGCCGGGCGACGGCGACGGCGACGGCGTTGAGGTGTTGGACTGGTCCGGCGCGCAGCCGCTGACCGTCAGCTTGAAGCTGTTGCCGGCGTCAACCACCCACGCCTGGTTGGGGTTGGCCCGGTAGGCCAGGCCCAGCAGCACCACCCGCGCAGATCCCGCGGGAGTCGAGTCCACGGCCAGGCGCTCCCAGTGCGCCGTGGACCCGGCATCGACCACGAGCCAGTAGAGTCCCGGCCCCAGCACCAAGCCATCGGCAGTAGCGGTCGGCGTCGCCGTGAAGCCGACGATCTCGGAGGTGACGTCCAGCGTGGCGTTGGGCACGGCGGTGGCGCTGGGTGCGCCTGCGCTGTCGGCGTAGAGCCGCGCCGAGTCGACGCCTCTGGGTCCTGTCCAGGCGCACAGTCGCGACCGTCAGCCCACGCAAAAGAACAAACAAAGAACGAAATAAAGAACGAAATAAAATAAAGCGAAGAAGAGAAAGAATGGGCACCGGAGAGCGGAGCGTAGAACCCGGTGATCACGCTCTGGTTGACGACTTGGAAGCGCTGTGCGAGGAGGGGCCGGGTGATGGTGGCGCTGGACGTCCGGTCGAGGTTATCCGCCAGCGGGTTCGCGCAATCTTCGTGACCAAAGACGGTTAAAGACGAGGGACCAAAAAAAACAAAAAAACAAAAGTATTACTTACCCTGCGCCCGCGCCGGAGATGCCGCCAGCCCGAGTATCACGACGGCCACCACGAAGAACGGCAGCGAGGGCCGGTGCATGGTGGGTGTGCGAGCGTTGGCCAACGAGAATTAATATGGGCCTTGTTGAGCTCTTGTCTTCTTGTGGTGACTCCGTTTCATTCCCTCCGTAAAGAGAGATATTTATCTGCTCGTGAGCCATTTTGGTTGGTTGAGTGTCGAGGCCTTTTCGCGTTACAAAAACTAAGCACTAATAAATCCATACACAGTAATGACCGTGCACCAAGGCAAAAATACCCTGGAAAATCGCCAATCAGGCGTGCGCCAATGCACTGTTTACTAGGCGTTGGCTATTAAGGGCGGCTCAGCAAAACAACAAAAGGGTGGGTTTGGATTTCCAACATGTGGTCTATAAGTTAGGGCAAAGTTCAGTCCGATCACTAGGTCGGGCACATGCAGAGCGACAGTCAGTGGACGATGAGTGTCCTAAGTGAAGGTGAAGGTTTATTCTGGAATAGGGTATAACAAGACAAAAACCAGCATAGAAAGGGGAGTGGAACTACAACAATGGGGTTGAGGAGGTAGAGGTGAGGTTAATGGTGCACTGCTGAGAGCAAACACGCCCACCATCAGGGAGGGAAATGCTGCACTCAGAGTGGATGGTCTGCATGCAGGTTGGAGCGTCGCACTGCACAATCTCTTCAGTGGTTTTGATGATGGACTTTGAGCAGGTCAGGCAGAGTGAAGTAGAAGGGAGGTCCATGTCCAGGACATGATGAGAGACTTGCAGTGGCTTGGGACTTGTTGGTGGTGAATCCTGGGGGAGTTGTGATGAAGGGGAAGTTGCAGTTGGCTGTTGGGAAGTGGATGGATGGCTGGATGTAGCACGTTGGTACTGGTTGGGGAGGTTGGTTGAGGTGTAGTGCCACTGCTTGGTGTCCTTCTTGACAGCAATGGCGTTGTGGCCAGCTAAGGCAGCAGCCAGTGAAGCAGAGTGGGTGCTGGCAAAGGCATCAAGGATGTACTTGCCAGGCTGGCTGTAGAGGTGGATGAAGCAGGACAGGGCTTCCTGCAGCTTCTGGCCATAGTTCAGTGACCACTGGTCAGAGTCACACCAGAGACCTGGGGTGGGCATGGAGAAGGAGAGGCAGTAGTCCTCTGGCTTGAGAGGGTTGAACCTGACCTGGTCAACAGTGCCAAAGCAGATAAGAAGGTACATCTTGAAGTTGTTGTAGACCCACTGCCTCAATCCACCCCAGCTGCCAGTCAGGGTCATCACACCAAGAGAAATGGTGCAGGATGGAAAGGCACTGGTGATCTCTCACATGTAGCTAGCTGCGTGGGAGTGCTCACAGAAGAGGACAACAACAAAGTGGTCAGACTTGTTGCAGAGCTTGATGGCGTTGATCAGAGGGTGGATCTTGTCAGTGGGGTAGGCCCAAGCATCCCAGTGATCAACATCAGTGATTCCCTTGAGCAGAGTGAGGCCATAGGGGAGGTCAATGAGCACAAGAGCTGTAAAAAAAAGAGGTGAGAGAGGTATTCCAGAATAAGAAGTACCATGCTGTGTATTCAGCCAGGTCAAGCACAGCAGGTGTCTGGCGGGACATGAGTGACAGCACATGCTCCTTGAAATGCTCTGGCAGGTCCTTTTTTCTGAGCTGAACCTTGCAGAAGACAGTGATCCACTGCGAGACGAATTCCTCCAGTTGCTCTTTGCCAACAACTGCTGTCAGCTCCTCCCAGCTGTTCTTCTTGAGAAGCTCCATACCTGTGTCAGCCTCAGAAGTCAACCAACCAGCTCAACCTTCAACATGGCAACTTCAAGGGCTGCAACAAGTGGACTTCCCAGGGCAAGGCCCTTACCATGACCTCTCTTGGTCTGAACATGCAGAGCCTCAACCCCCTGTTCTCATCCACAATCACTTGGACATAGAGAGTGGTGAGACAGCACAACCAGTGATGCCCAGGGTCTGGCACTCCCTTGCTGTGCAGGCGCAGGTATGCCTCCCACCTGTGGTTGCCACCAGCAACCCACAGCAAGTGGTTCTGGGCGAAGTGGCGAATTTTGCATGTGGCTGATTCCTTGTGGTTCATGATCTGGTCACGCTCCTCTGCAGAAAAAAGCAAGTCAGAACAGAAAATGTATTCTAGAATACAAACAGGGCAGTATTCTGGAATACTTACCTTCACTGCAAATGATGACTATGAAGAACGGCTCCATGATGGTGAGAGGGTTGGTTCAGATGCTCTCCATGATTTTACAAACCATAGCAGTGTTGACTGGGCGGACCAAGAAGCCAGCTGCTGGGCCCTTGGGTCAACAAAACCACAGAGGGTCAGCCTTTTCTCTGTGGAACAGCAGGTGCTGCTCTCCCATCTTGGTGTTCCAGGCAGACACCTTGGTAAGCTCCTCTGCAATCAAACACACAATTACACCACAGTTTAGCAAAATTAGTACCTACACCAGAACTGGAGGTACACACCTTCATGTTTGCCATGCTTAGCCTTTGGTGTGGGTGTGGCAGCAGAGGAAGGAATGCTGTAGATCAAGGCATCCTCATCTTTGGAGCTGGTGATGTGCACAGCCTTGATGGGGGCTGCTGGCGCACTCTTTTGGTGTTTAGCTCCATGTGGTTGTGGTGGAGAAGGTGGTGTCGACTTCACTGCAGCCTTGATGGGCTGGCGCCTGGGAGATGGTCCCATGTCCACCTCCTTGACCTCTTTGATGGCAGGAGAGACTGTCTCCTTCTCCTCCTCTTTGCTTGAGATGCTGCGCTCCTCCTCCTCCTCCTCCTCCAAGCTTGATTTCTTCTTCTTCTCTTCCTCTTTGTCCTCACAAGTCCCACACTTGCGCTTACTGGCTGTCATAGTGGCTTCTCCAACTGGCCCTCCTCAGGGAACTGTGGCAGGCGCCTTTGCACCTTGCTTTGCTTAAGAAGCTCATCCAGCTGTTCTGAATCATAAGGTTTGTGGGACAGGTGAATTAGTATGCGCCAATGTGTTGGTGGATCTTTGATGCTTGATTTGTATTCTGGAATGCATGCACAACTAGAATTTTTGCATTTGTATTCTGGAATACAAGCACAACAAGATTTTGTGCATTTGTATTCTGGAATACAAATCTACACAACAATTTAATGGCCATAAATTGCTTGGCTGGGTGGTGCACTACACTTGTGTAAGAGATTGGGTGTCCAAGGAGGTGTACTTTTGAATGTTCATAGCTGTGGTTTCTCCTTGCCCCCCTTTCAGAGCTCAGTCATGCTTGTGCCCCAATTCAGCAGGCCGTAACATTCAATGAACTCCTTACCATTACTGTTGATGAAAGTAACTGTTTGGTTGTCCTTCTCCTTGGTGTGGTAGCACTTGAAGTTCTTGATTACACATTCTACTTCGCCCTCCTCCATCGCCGGGGGTGTGCACAAGGTGTATAAACTTTGCTGCCATGTGGTGGCTGCCCAACCTGTAGTATAGGAGCATTAGGTGCCATGAACACCACGGAATTGGGCGTACGCCCCCCCCCATTAAAAAAAATCCCCCCTGAAATTTAATTTCATTGATCACTAACTGTTTTCCATTGATGTCCATACCTTGCATAGTCATGGTTTTTGCCATACTCAAGGTACCAGGGCAGCGTAGCCATGTTGCTGATGCTGCTAATTCTCTTCTTCACCTTGCTCATGATGGTGTGTTGTTCATGATATGTTTTTTTTTGTGCCCTGTATTCGAAATTTTCACTAATTCACCAGCATCACAAAACAGCAAACACGATGTGTTCCTTGTTGTTTTGAATCATCAACAAATCCTCCCCCTCTGTGCTGGCGCTTGTGGTGTCCCCTTGTCATCTGATCCTTTGTCAAACACCTTCTCACTGTTGTAATATTTCATTATATAGGGCAGGATTTCTCTTGCACTGCACTGATGTAGCTGCAACACTTGACTTGCTCTTGCCCTGCTTCCAACAGCCCATGGAGCCCACCACAGCCTCACTTGGCTACACCTGTTCCAAGATTTCAGCATCACTGACTGGTATGAGCTAGCTTGTTCGTTGTGAGTTGTGCTGCTCATGTATTCCAGAATATGAAGTTGCTGATTGGTTGTATTCTGGAATACATGCACCAACCTCAAATTCATGCAGGTGTGCGTGGGGGAGCTCTTTTCGAAACCTGGTTCTTCTTAGCAGGAAAAAAGTCACTTGTGAAGCCAGCCCTCACTGCCCTACATAAGGGTGAAAAGCTGACTGAGATTCAGGCAACAAAGATTTGGGATGTGCAGTCAGAGCACTGGTATGCCATGCTGCACTTCCAGTGTTGTTATGGTATCTCCTAACTCTTATACTCCTTATCAACAGGGCTGCCTGGGCTTGCACAGCACTGAAAAACAGAAGCAACAAGAGCACTGACGCGCTTTTTCACCACACTCTTACTCTTGATGCTTGTGGCCTCTCTAGGAATGGCAAGGACTACCTGGGCAACCTTGGCAGGTGTTTGTTGACAGATGCATAGCCTGTTGCCTTGTACCAGGCAGCACTCTTCTCCTCCTTGCTCCATCTCCCACATCTTTGGTGGATTGACAACTACAACAAGGGCTTCCAGAAGGCCCTGACTAAGCTGCAAGTCAGCAGTTATGTTTGCATTGATGGCACCTGTTTTGTTCTGGTTCTTTTAAAACAGTGTCCTGCTCATGCTACTCCTGCAAGACCCAGACAACACACCACTTTGCCAGAGCAGTTCTCCACTGAACATCTTGAACTCTTCATCTCCTCCTTTGATGATGGCATGCCCACTGACAATCTTTCAGTCTCACTCACCCAGGCACTGCAAGTGTGGAACAATCCTCTGTGACCACCAGGTGCTTGTACACCACGACAATTTGCAGCTGAGTGCTTAAAAGGTATGCCTGCCTGTTAGGATGTGCAACGTTGTGCCTCTAAATCAGTTGTGTTGTGCTATGCAGATGTAGAGTTTAGCAGTTCTCAGGCAGTGCCTCAGCCAACAAGTTCTACAAGGCTCACCCTTCTTCCTCACACTTGTGTGGTGTTGTTGACATCAACATCTTTTATCGCTTCTACCTGGTACTCTCCTTATGCGCCTTTCCCCAAAAAGGGTTGAAACTTTAGGCTTGGGACTATGGAGTCTGCCTGAGGTTCAACGACTTTGATGCTTGGTTTTGGTACTACAGGCGCCTCTTCCTAGTGTTTCTAGGTTTAGCTCCCAAGGGGCAGTACGCAAGGAGTTGTCTCCTCTACCTCCACCTCCTCAACCACTGGAAGGACAACAACCTTCCACTCTACACACATCTTCAGCATTCCATCTACTCCCTCAATGAGGAAGTGGGTGAGATGACCTTTGCACAGCTAGCTTGTACTGTGCTGGGTGACACTGACCAGTCTTCCATGGCCAAACTCAGGGAGGCGTACCAGGCTCAACCCTATGTTGGTGCTGTTACACCTGAGCAGATGACTGACACTCATTCCTCAGTTACTGATTTCCCACAGGAACTGAAGGCAATTGAGGAGCACCTGCAGTACACTCTGATCCAAGTTGAACTAGGGCTTTGGCAGCCATACTGGGTGCCTAAAGGTGCTCATTTACTCTCCCAAACTGTGTTCTTGCCACTTTATCACTGATTTTGTGGTGTTCAACAAACCTCAGCCAAAAAAAGCTTTACAATGAAGGAAGTTCTCCAGCACCCTGAGGATTGTCCACTGGACACTTCCCTAACACCCAGACTTCGCCCTTCATCCTTCAAACCAGCTTTGGCGGAAGTCAACAACTTCCTTAGCCAACAGCTACTTTCCAATACCTAGGTAAGCAGTTTGTATTCCAGAATACATTTCACCACTCTACTCATGCTTTTTTTTCTCACCATCAGAACATCTTCGCCCTACAACTTCCTTTGCCAACAGCTACTTTCCATTACCTAGGTAAGCTGTTTGTATTCCAGAATACATTTTCACCACTCTACTCATGCTTTTTTTTCTCACCATCAGAACGTCTTCACCCCATCAGAACGTCTTCACCCTCCAACTTCCTTAGCCAACAGCTACTTTCCATTACCTAGGTAAGCTGTTTGTATTCCAGAATACATTTCACCACTCTACTCATGCTTTTTTTTCTCACCATCAGAACATCTTCGCCCTACAACTTCCTTTGCCAACAGCTACTTTCCATTACCTAGGTAAGCTGTTTGTATTCCAGAATACATTTCACCACTCTACTCATGCTTTTTTTCTCACCATCAGAACATCTTTGCCCTACAACTTCCTTAGCCAACAGCTACTTTCCATTACCTAGGTAAGCTGTTTGTAGTCCAGACTACATTTTACCACTCTACTCATGCTTTTTTTTCTCACCATCAGAACATCTCTTCACCTCAGGCAACAGAGCAGTTATGAGCCATCAAGTTTTCCTTTCCTTCCCCTGATCCTAGATTTTGACATACACTTGTCTGCTTGTTCATCTGCCCTTTTTCCCTTGCAACAGTTTGTTGCACAAGCCGCCCCTCCATTTATGGTCCTTTCTCTTCAGAAACCAACTGGCGCACAGCCATTCAGGTGTGAGGATTTATTAGCACTTAGAAAAAAGCCACTTAGAGAGCCCAATCAAAACACAACAAACCTCACAACAGGATTGGGTGGAAGTAAACGGAAATGAGGTATCAACAGCAGGTAATTGGCTGCAAGGCCACGACAGGGCCAGGATGGCCTGGTTGACTGTCAGTTGTAGTTGTGCTCTAGTAGTCATCATGGTCCTTCTTGTGGCTGTTGCACTTGCGCTTGCACTGACAGTGGCACAGGCACTTCTTGCTGTACTCATGGTACATGCTGTTCTCAACTGGGTAGCAGGCTTGTTGTTGGCATAGTAGACGCCACATCACTTGCACTTGACTGGGTAGCAGCTGTGGGCGTCACGGTAGTACCACTGGTGGCTGATCTTGTGTGGGCAGCATCTGTTGTTGTTGCTCCACTGGCTGCTGTGGCACTGCTTCTTTTTGTCATCATACTTATCACTAGTGGTGTAGTAGTGCTTCTTCATTGAGGTGGTCTCCTTGGGGCACTCCTCAGTGGTTGAGGTAGTGTGGTGCTTCTTGGTTGAGGTGGTCTCCTTCCTGGTTGAGGTGGTCTCCCTCCTGGTGGTAGTGGTCTCCTTGGGCGTGGTGGTCTGCTTCTTTGTGGTAGTGGTCTCCTTGGGGCACTCCTTGGTGGTTGATGTGGTGTGGTGGTGCTTCCTGGTGGTTGACCTCTTGTGGCAGTTGTCATCGTGCTCTGGACAGATGCAGTACTTGTGGCACTTGCCCTCATCATCACAGTCCTCACCATCCTTGGTGTAGTTGCCCTTCTCATCTGGGTAGTACCTGTCATGAGCAAATGATCAGCAGGTACCTATGCTGGTGTTGGTGATGTATGTGTGCATGTGTGTGTACCTGTGGCCATCAGCGTAGTAGACACTGCAGCTGAAGTCCTTGGGGTAGCACTTGTTGCTGTCAAAGTAGTAGGCCTTGCCGTGGATGATCTTTGGGCAGCAGCCCTTGCCATCTGGCCAGTAGCTGCCCTTGCACAGCCCCTTGTTGTCACAGTGCTTGTCATCATACTTGTCATCATAGTTGCCGTTGGCCATGGCTGCAATGGTGAAAACAGTGAGGCTGAGAGCCACAATGCAGAGCAGCTTGGTTGATGTCATCCTTCCCTGCACTGCACAGTTGCTGGAGGCGAGGGTGGACAGCCTTTTTGTGGTACTTGCTGGCCAATCAGACAGCGCCTGATTGAGTGCTTTGCTAGAGCTCAGAGTCAGCCAATCCTTGGCCACTGTGAGTGGGAACATAAAGCCTGTGACCTGTGTGTTTAGGGATGTGCTGTGTGATAACTGTAGGGGTGATGATAGCTGCCCAGGCTAAAGGCCATTGGGCATGAGTCACCCACCCACCCTGGTTGGCACTAGTGTGGGGTCATGAAGAGTTTGAGTTGGAACCCACTCTTTCACATCCTTGTGTTGAGCCTTCCCATGCTTTGGAACAGGGGACAAAAGCAAAACGTGGAAAAGAACGCACTTTGTTTGGCAAACTCAAACTTGTTTCGGAAATAGGGAGTTTTTCGTTTGGGAAACAGTCCTGAAAAAGTTTCGGGAACTGAGAAAACCTGAATTGGCTTCTTCCGCTTTCGCTTCGCGCACCACATACCTATCATTCCCCGTTTCCTTAGTAATCTGGTGAAGTGAAATTTCAGGTATGAACGTAGGGTGAAGTGAAATTTCAGGTTGCAGTGGTTACCTTAGTGACAGATCCCCTTTTGCCATTCGGGGGGGGGCACTAGTGCAAACACAAACTCAACCAATACTCTTGTGAGACACAACCCTTCTCACACTTGGCACGCATCTGTGTGATGTCAAGACTTCATTCCTTGAGACTGGTGTCAACAAAGGCTGCAGCCCCAAAAAAATGCAAGTGTGACTTGTAATTCATTTACTTCTCAGGGATGCCAATACAACATTCCTTTGTGAAATAGTGTTGTTACCTTAACGACAGAACCTGTAGTACCCTAACGATGGAACCTGTATGGTGTGTCCCCTAACAACAGAACCCATAGTGCCCTAACAACAGAACCTGTAGTGGCATCCCCTATAGCCTTTTGGGGGGGTTGCAAGTGCAAACACAAACTCAACCAATACTCTTGTGAGACACATATACACAGCCAATGGGGGGGGGGCACACCTGACTAACCAATGAAATGTGTGTATTTTAATATAAATAAACTGGTGCATGAGCACATAGGCCACAACAGCCACCACCCTCCACAACCACATGGAGGACAACATCAACCACCACCAAGATGAGGAGGAGGAGGAGGAGGAGGAGATTGAGATCTACCACCCACCCAAGTCACCAGTGATCACTAATGTGACACTGTTTGATAAGGGCTACCTTATGGAGAGATAAACAAGCTACTTGTACTCCAACAAGTATACCCCTGGTGCTCCCATGTCACCTTCCTTCATGGACACATGGCCAGCCTGGTGTGTGTTTACCACCTGTGCTTCAGACCTCAACCAGGGGTATGCTGTCCATGATCTGCAAGCCCAACATGGCAGGAAAAAGTACAGGTTTTACTTTTATTTTTATTTTCAATGGTTGTTTTCTTTTTGTGTTTCTCTCCCCTTGGCCTTGTGTTGTTACCCTGACAACAGAACCTGTATAGGCACTCTTGCTTTTATTCCTATTGTGTGGCAGTCATGCTGGCATGCGTAGCAAGGCCCACCTGTTCTTTGTGTACTTCTTTGAGCGTAGGTGCTTACACTCTATCACGCCAACACAGGCCCCACCAAAGATGGCGCCACAGTGGCCTGATAGGAGCCAATTTTTTGCAGTTGGAGGAGAGGCAAACAACACAACACACTCCACCACCCAGAGAGGCCAATTGGCTCACAATGGTGTGCCAGAGCATTGTGAGCACACTTTTGTGTCAGCCCCATAGATAGATGTTGGAACCAAACCAAACCTCTGGCATTCCTCTGCACACCATTGTACACACACTCCTGAGTGCACTCTCCCCAAGTGCATTAACCATCCATCCAGGTAGAATACCCCTGACACCAACACTGACTATGACAAGCCCATGATGATGACGCCCTCCCAGGCCAGCCCCACCATGACGACCAGCACCAGCAGTGGCTTGCCAATGACCTGGCCACTAACCTCCTTGGATGGGAAACACTGTTGACACTTGGTCAGAAAGGGCAACAAGAGGATGCTTCTTGTCAGTCTCCAACAGACCTGATGGTACAAGAACAACAAGTTGTCCAAGTGGTACTCTCCTGAGCCAACAGTTCCTTCCCTGTGGATTCCTCCAAGATGGTGATGATCAGCAGGAGCAGATTGGCTGCTGATAAGAAAAAGAACAAACAACACTTGAGTGTTTAGGCCTGTTGTTTGTTCTGTGGTCACCAAAAAGGAAAATGGTATTAAATCTGATTTTTTGAGGTCAGAAATTATTGGCTCCATATATCAACATCCCAACCCCAAACACATGTGAAGGGGCTGTTCTTTCATTGACATGTCAGCAATTCGACCTCCCAACGAGAAAAGTAATTTATTATTAATTTATTATTATTTCTAACCAAAATGACGATGTGTGGTTGTTGCACCAACGAAAATGGCGTGAAAAAACAGGTCACAGGATATCTGTGAAAAGTCGAAAAGAAAAGAAAAGAAAAATTTCATATTCACGGCCTATAAGAAATCGTACAGGAGATGCCTGTTAGCCAATGGGGCGCCGTTGCTGCTGCCCAGAAAAAAGAAGGTTCTGCGTGTCGCCACTTTGTACTTTCGCACAACATGTCTGACCTGCCTCCGCCCCTACCCACCCCGTCCACCGACGACGCATCGTCGATTACCTCTGCCCCCGTTCAACCTACCCTTCCTGGACAAACGATCTGGGGCATGACTATCGATGTGAGCGGCCTTCAGAATAGAATCTTTCAGCTAGAACGAGAGCTCCAGTTCGAGAAGAGGGAGAAGGAGAGCATGCGGGCCAAGTACGTGCTCGATCTCGAAGAGCGAGAAAAGAAGCACCGAAAGAAGATCAAGGAAATGGAGGGGGAGGTAGAGATGCTGAAGAAACAGCTCGCCGACAGCAACAGGGCGATAAGCGAGCTGCGATCAGAGATGCACAAAGAGATTGCAATCAACAAGCGCCAACGCGCACGTCTTCTCTGCGGATCAGTAGCGTATGTCTATATCGAGAGCGCGGGTACGTTCCTGCTTTTACCTTCTTCATTGGCCATTGCCTGACGTTAGCTTTTTTCATTATGCAGTTGAATTCGTCTTCCGAAATCGGTCGCGTCCACAGATTCGTCGCTTGAAGCGCGAATTGTCCACGATCGAGGATATCCAGGAAGAGCTGAAGGAAGATGTCGAAACGGCGCAATGGACGGAGTTCGCGACCAAGTTCTACGCTGACGACTACGACAACGTTCTGCAGAAGCTAGCTAAGGACCGGGTCAACATCGCACACCCAACGACTGAGGACGACGACAGCGACGGTGTTCCTCCCGAGAGGATGCAGGAGATCATCCACGAGGTGTACAACCAAAAGGCAAACCGTTCCCTGCGTGTCACGGCGGTGAGGTTGGTTGACTCTCTCGATTCTCTTCGTCGTGCTCTCGGCAAGTCGGATTTGTTGGGGTGAGCCACCCTGGCCGACTACAACATCCAGAAGGAGTCCACCCTCCACCTCGTTCTTCGTCTGCGCGGTGGCAACTAAGCGTGTTTCCTCCACCACTTCTTCCTGCAAATACAACAACACAACTGTTCATAACCACCTCTCGAGAGTTCGTCCCTTCGTGTGAAGGCAATGTCCCTTTTCTTGCTTGCACCTTTGCCTGTGGTTCCCGTCGCCCACACCACCGCGCACTGTTCTTGCACGCGCGTGTCGTGTCGTGTCGTTGGTCGTGCGGGATAGGGCAGCGCGTGCTGGGGGCGGCTACGCAGGCGAGAAGGTGCCTCCCATCCCGCAGGAGGTGCGCCAGAGCAAGATCAACGACCTCGACCGGAGTACTCCTCCACCGCACACGCCACACACCACGACACGCGCACACCGCACGCGCTGATCGCGGGAGTACAGATGGCAGGGCGCCACCCACCGCAGGGGTGAGTCTTGATGGTCATGCACGGTGTGTGAGGTGGGTGTGTGCGGTGCGTGTGCGGCAGGCGTGAGCGGTGGGCGTGTGTTACCGAGGGAGAGGTAGTTGTTCATGCAGTGCTCCTGGGTGCCCGTGTG